GGGTGGGTGTCCATCAGGTGTGGGGCTGTCCGTGGGCACTGGGACGGGGGTCCATCAGGTGTGGGGCTGTCCGTGGGCACTGGGGTGGGGGTCCATCAGGTGTGGGGCTGTCCGTGGGCACTGGGACGGGGGTCCATCAGGTGTGGGGCTGTCCGTGGGCACTGGGGTGGGGGTCCATCAGGTGTGGGGCTGTCCATGGGCACTGCCCCACGAGTGTTTAGGCCTGACCTGACCTTCCCTTCCCCGTTCACATGAGGGGCTGTGTAAGTGCTGGCACTGCTGCGGCTCTGCGGCCTCGTGTGTGTTTTTAAGCAAACGCTGCTGTTTCCTGTGTCTTGTCAAATAATTATATTTGGCATCCAGGGCTCCAGCACTTTGAGGAGAACCAAATTAAAATTGGAGCTCATTGAGCAGAACATTGTGTTCCTGGGTAATCCGAGGGCTTTTTGCGGACAAGCTCCCATGGCTGTGGCTGCATGGAGGCCTGGGGTGATCTTGATGTGATCCTGGGGTGATCCCTTCTGTGATCCCCGTGGCTCCCTGTCTCACTGAGCAGCCCTTAGGCATGTGAACATGGGGTTGCTGGCCCTAGTGTGTGCTCCTGGCAGCTGGGCAGCAAAAGAGCAGTGTCACGGGTGATCTTTGTTGCCCCTTGCTGTTGTGTCCTGCTGGGATGATGCTCCTGCTTGAGCACCGTGGCTCTTTATGGAGAAGGGCTTGTTGAGGCAACCCACTGCTGGTCTTCTGGGTGACTGGTGGTGATGTCTGGAAGCTGTGGCTTGCTCTAAGGGATGTTAGGGGCTTGCTAGAGAGCAGGCCCAGGAGGGGAGGGGAATGTTTGGTGCTGTGGGTGACCCTGGGTGGCCCTTGCCCCATCCCTTCAGACAAGGATGGACAGCAGGACCCAGAGAGCTTCAGCACCCTAGTTCAAGTGGTGCGTGAGAGCCAGGACACACCAGGGCGTCCTCCCACCTCTGCTCTTCCTGTGCCCCAGATGCTGTGGCTGGAAGGCGGGATGAGTCTTTCTGGGATGAGTCTCCCTGGGATGAGCCTTTCCTGGTAGTGTTTTGGCAGCCTCTGTCCCCCGGCACTAACGGCACAGGGAGCAGGAGCAGCTGCTCAGAAGCCGCATCAGGGCACGAGCCGATGGCTCCGGCAGATGCTGGTGATGCTGCAGCCTGTGCAGCAGTGCTGGGTTCAGGGAAAGCCTCTGGCTCTGTGTCTCCTGCTGCAGTGTGGCCCTGTCCCCATCCCTCTCCCTACCAGGTGGGTAGCAGGAGCCACGGGGAGCGCCTGGCCTGGTGCTTTGCTTTAGGCTTTCACTGCCCCCTGAGGTCCGTGATCTAACGTCTGTTTTATTTGGAGCTGTTATTTCCAGTGGCGATGGCTCAGGCATCCTGCTCACAGCCATTTCTCTCCCTCTTACTGCGTCGCTGGTGGTGGCAGGCCCTGTGGTGACAGTCCCTGCTGGGTGGCAGCATGTCTTGCCCCAGCTCAGTTTGCTCTCTGTCAGGCTCAGTCCCTGTGGATGGTGCTGGTGGCAGGTGTTGATCCACTGGCACAGCATGGGAAGCTGCTGGTGCCGCAGCCCCCGTGCCCTTGTCTGGCTGCTGAGCACTGCTCCTGTGGTGGCTCCGTGAGGACAGCGGGGTCAGCCCTGCCTGTGCTGGCTGCTGCAGCCCCAGAGCCCCCGTGCCCTCAGCTGCCCCTACTCTGCCAACCTGGGGGGGAACTCGACACTGTGGGGCTGGGGCCACCTGAATGTGTCCCCTGGATCCCAACGGGTGTATCGTGGGGATGTGTGACCTGACCTGTGCGGTGCCTTCTGCCTCAGTTTCCCCTCGGTCCTGTAGGCACTGGGATGTGTCCGTCCCAGTGCTGTGCCCCCCTGCCCCCGCAGCAGGCTGTGATCCCAGCAGGGAGCAGCGATTCCCACGTGTTATTAGCCGGGCTGAGCCTGCCCCTCGTTTGATACCGTTCGGCAAGTACGACTGTTTACATAGCACATTGTTCAAAGTAATTCAATTTACAGGAATGATCTTTACTTCTAAATAAAAAATTAATACAGTTCTTTTGTTTGTGCATTTATATAAACTAGCTGGCACAAAGTCAGTTTGCAAAGTTCCCATCTGAAGCAAATTAGTGAGGTCTCTTAGCTCAGTCTCTGTATAATTTCAGCACAGAAATGTCCTGTCTCAGGCAGCCCCCGCCCCCCTTGATTTTTTGTGGGGTGTTTTTTTTTTTGTTTTTGTCAGGCTGAAAAATCTAAACCTTTCTTTTCCTCCCAAATAGTTTTCCAGTTAGTAATTCCAGCAGAAGGACGGTGTCTCTGCATCTCACCGAGCCCGCGGGGCCGGGCAGGGCTGCGGAGCTCACCGGGCTCTTCCAGCGCCGGGGCTGCGGAGCCGCGGGGCTTGCGCTGCGGGGTTTTCCCTGCTGCTCGGTGTGTTGCACCTCTTCTCGGTCTTTTGTGCCCGTGCTGAGCCGTGCGGGAGCTGCTTGGGATGGCAGGGGGACGCGTGGGAGCCCGTGGCGCTGGGTGCGTGGGGAAGCGCAGCAGCTGCCCTAGGGGCTGTGTGGGAACCGGCCCCAGCTCCGCAGGCAGAGCCGCGCCCTTCTCCGCTGCTTCTC